AGCAGGAAGACCTGGAGTGACATCTGGTTTAGAGGCATTTTACCTGTAGAACCCATTGAACCTATTCACATTCAAACCGTTTTTACCTTGATCTACAGTAATCCGCTGAACGATAAACATATTGCATATATATTTAATATGTATTTATATATGTATATATATATATATATATATATTCTTCCATTAAGCTCAGTATTTTTCTTCCGTCCCTATCGTGAAGTGGATCCACAGATCCTAGGAGTTTCATACCGAAAATCTCCCTAAACGTCAGTTTCAACAAATAATGTTAGGTCTGAATTTTGAAATCTTTTGATGTGCTGATAGAGTGCAGTATTAAACTGAATGGAAATCAATTTAAGCTTCACCTTATAAAAACTAAATCTCCAAATCTCTGTGAAGGAAATAGTATTCATATGTGTGAGCCAACGGCGGACCAACAGATGTTTGAATCTTTTCAGTCGGTCAACTTAGATGCAGTCATCCAGAGTTTCAAAATTCTATTATTTTAACACTACAGTCACCTGGCTGTAGAAGTCAAGAAACTGTACTCTGGTATTATATGAGTGTGTCTGTGTGCCAGAGTAAGTATGAGTGTGTGTGTGTGTGTGAGGGCTGAATATGATGCAGTGCTTCCCTGTCAAAGGTTTACTTACTCTTCCACCGTCCCAGGAGGATTTGTTCTTTGACATTGGCAGTAGCAGAGCAGTGACCCAGCCATGAACAGCTGAATGGCAGTCAGTTCCACTCTTAGTGTGGTCGAGGACAAACCTCCCAGTGGTCAGTTCATCTAATCACCACAGGGACCAGTGGGTTCCAGAGCTGGACCACATCCTCAGAATTGTCTCTAAAAGATAAATGAATGGGCTTCGTTCCTTTGCACCTTGAGTCTCACATGATGCAAAATTAGCTAACGAGCAGGTCGACACTTCCAAAGCAGTAGCTCTCAGGGCCAAACTGGGCTGGTGTCCCATCTTTCTGTCTCATTGTCTTTCTCTTATCGCGTCATTTTAGGTCAATTTATCAATGGCATTAGTTCTTCTATGGAGGCTATTCTTTCTATTATTTAGCGCTGTCATCGACTTCATCAGGTGTGATGAATAGTGTATTCATTCGACTCAAAGTTAAATGTGTTATTGAAAGTTTTACCTCAAGTGACAAAATGCACAGGTCGAGTACCTTTACAGAGTTTGAGCTTGTGTAATGTTAAAGTGACCGAATAAATTGTAAGTTTAAGAAACATTTTCAAAAATCAAAATGTCTGAAAAAGTTTAGGAAATAATGTGGTGGCATAGAAGATGTAAAGCATTATATCAGAACATTTAATATAACAGACCAGTCCATTCAACAGTTTTTTATGCTATGAGCTAGCTCTTTCCCAGTAATGTCTTTAAATGGCTTAATATTTAAGGGCTACAGTGGAACAGTGGTCCGTTTCATGTATGGATGTAGCCTCACCCGTAGAGCTGCTTCCACAAGGCTAAGCTAGGCTAGTTCTAGACACTGGTGCTAATAGTAGCACACAGACCGATCCAATTTGGCTAGGAATTTATTCTTAAACATCATTTTAAAAGCAATGAATTTTATATCAATCACTATGACAAAAGGAGTTTAATATATAAATGGTTCCCTAGTGTAGTGGTTAGCACACCTACCTCAGAGGCAGATAGTCCTGGGTTTGATTCCCAGAGGAACCACATGCTTGATAATGTTAATCCTCCTCTGTATGTCGCTTTGGATAAAAGTTTCTGGTAAACGCATAATAATGTAAATGTGTTACGTTCTATTGACGGTAGGGTAATTGTAGTCCCTGGTGCTAATGGTAGCTATTTATTGAGATATTCATTGTAAATGATCAAAAAATAATTAAATAAATTCCAGCAAAGTTAAATGCATCACCTTGGTTTACTATTTATGTAAATGATAAAAAAATAAAAAAATAAATTCCACCAAAGTTAAATGCATCACCTTGGTTTACCTTTAGCTGTTTGTCTTGGTTGTTTGTTTGTTTTTTTTCTTTGGGGACCAAAACCCAGTGTTGTGCATTTGAACAATTTCAGTTTTGTTTTATGGCCTCTAATTCAATACAACTCAGTGCAATTTCTTGTTTTTGACAAAGTGTCAGATTTATTAGAAATACTCATTTATAAGCACACGGTAACTATGTTGAACAAATTTAGATTTTTCTAGATTTTTTGAGTTTCTATTGATTTTTGAAGCATGTCCTCTTAGGAATGTCAAATTGTTCCATTTTTTCAGATGGTATACATTAATATGCCAGCTATGGACCCGCGAGTATATCACAGCAGTTCACAGCAAGGAAAACCTTATCATGTTGTCCGACCATGTCAACACTGTTAAATTGAGCAGGAGTCAGAGATTAATAACTGCCCACATTGGTGGGGAGAGGGAGGGAGCGGTGGAGAGGCAACTGTGAGAGCTTACAAAAAGATTAATGACTGTCAAATAAAAACAATGAATTTTCCATTAGATTGTGGAATGGCACATGCTACTTGCTCAGTCTGGCCAGTTTCCTCATCAGATAAGGAGGTGGTTCAAGGCGAAGCAACAAATGACCCATTTAAAAGATAAACATTTGTCCTTTCTGCAGACTTCAGATTAACTCTGGCCTATTTTAAGTCACTTGTTTCTCTACAAAGATTTGTTCCCATCACCCATGAATGAAACAGTCTCTACTTTACGGAACATTTGACTTTGTGTAAAAAAAAAAAGGTTTATGGTGGTCCTGTTGCAGAGCTGGTGTAGTGTTATAAAACACTGAAAACAGTATTTTTTGTCTGACTATCTGAAGACACAAACACACACACACACACACACCATTACCCATGCTTTTCAAACATCCCTTCTTTGCAAACATGTCATTATTGTAATGATGCGTGGCCACTTTTCAAAACACACAAATGTGACATTTAAGCAATTTTGATACAGATGCAACTCCCTGCAATAGCTTGATGGTGAGACGCCAAACAAATTTCACAACAACAAAAAAGACGAGGCGCACAGAGTGCAAACAATGCTGCAGGCGACTCCAGCTGGAAGGAAACAGTGGCCTGTTAGCTGTTAGATCTCATCTGTAACAGACAGGATGTGTCAGCAGCCAGTGCATGGTCGGAGCACAAGTGGAGGAGAGGTAAATACTACAAGAGAAGCTTATTTCTGTAGAGCTAAGACGTGTTCTTGTCAGTCAGGCACTTGGTGTCCTCCAGCAACGGCACACTGACCCCCAGTCAGTACAGATTTGATTTGATAGAGGACATGTATAGAGGGGAGAAAAAAAAAAACCCTTCAGCTCTGCCTTGTGTCTGTTGGATGTGTTATCTGTGCTAACCAAAAAAAAAGGAACACAATGGGGAAAAAATGGCATTGGATTTTTTTTTTTCCTGTCGAATCCCTTTCACTGTAAAAATTGAAAAGTATGAAATCAATTTAGGCAAAATGCTGAGCGTCCAGTGAGCTGTGAGTCGTAACGCCACAAACAAAGTGTCCAACAAAATTACAAAGGCACTAGTTTTAATGCATGACTTGCACATTGGACTTTACAGCCACAATCCTAGTCAAATTTCAGTATATAAAATTGGATTCAAAAATATATTTCTAATAGATATCTTGCGCTAGTCAATACATCGAAGCAGTCTGACTATAAACAACAAAGCCAACAACTCTACCACTACCATTTTTTTTTGTCTGTCTACCACAATTCCTGTTTCCTTAAAGTTACAAACCTAGCCTTAAAGATGTGTTGGTTTGCTTGTGTTTGGAACTAGTCCTTCAGTGAAAACAACAATTCTTCCTCTACAGTGTTCCCAGCACCTGAGACGTGCTGCAGTACATTTGTCTGGAGCTGGATGACATGTCAAAGTCTGGGCCATTTGTCTCCACTGTTTCCCTGCTTTGTAGTATTTGGACTCGGGGTTGTACTTGTGATTAAAGCTTTCACTTCTGGGTTTACAGTTCATGAAACAAGACTTTTTCCGAAATGTGAACTTGTGAGCAGCAGATCGAGTGTTAATCTGCTTTACTCTGAATTCTTTGTAAGCACGAGACTTGGGCGCCAATTCGTATTTGGTGAAACCAAACAAAGCGCCCATCTCTGCAGCAGTGATGAAGGAAAACTGTTTACCATTAACCATTGTTTATCTCCTCTTTACCACTGTGAGCTGTGTGTAATTTTCACCACAGGTGAAAGCTGAAAACGATCAGCACGACTTCCTCTCCTCTAGTAAAACAGACAGAAAATAGATTCACTGGGTTGTTTGTAACCATTGGTTTCACAGTAATTAATTGTGTTAATCATCTGTGTATCCAATGATGTTTGAGCTGTTTGAGCTTCACACCTGCCTGTACTCTGAACTGATCCAGCCGGGACGTTGGTCATAAACACAGAACCCCATCATTCCATCATTTGGATCAGTCACAGTTACAAAGTGTAAAACACATACATTATAGCAAAAAACTGAAAATGTTTTGTCATAATTAAGTATATTATTTTTGTCTGCATTCATAACGATTAATCGTGCTTAATTTTAATCATGATTAATCATGATTAGTTGTGTAAATGATCAATTAATCACCATTAATCAAGAGCTACCCCTGTTATTAATCTGATTGAACATGTTAATCCATTGACAGCCCAGATTTGGATAATGACCACAGGCCATTTCATCATTGGGCGGTAGTGACATCGGTAATAATTTCAAATATTCCTGTTCTCTATTGTCTTCAAATAGTATTCACAAAATGTCCATCTTTTCCCCCTTTGTTGTCAAGCAAAAAAAGGGCCGGTTCTGGCCCACGGGCCGTATGTTTGACATCCCTGTTATAAGAAGACATTTTATACCAAATAAAGGACCTGATTAGCAGATGTTGGATTATGTTTTATATTCCAACACATTTAATCCTGTAACACCTCTCTACCTGGACAAATCCAACAATCGCTTTTATCTAACTGACTGTTTTCTCCTTTTGCCCCTTCATGCCTTCAGTAACTGGGACAAAAAGCAAAGCGAAAGGTGAGTTATTGCCTCCATTTTCTTGCCGTGTGATTTATGTTGCACATAGTTCCAATAAAGAAAGGTGTTGACCGCCTTTTTGTCTTCCCCAAGAGCCTGGGGAACATTAACATACGCTGTTTGTTGCAAAGACTTCTGGGCATTTATTCAATTTTCACTTCACATCGTGAGGTTTGCCGGCCTCTGCTCTCTACATACAACAATCACACCAGAGAGTTATTCCTTTCCTTGACCAGCCGCGAGGCCGCTGAGGGTTCAAGGACACCTCAGTGGTGTACAAACGGTCATTTCCACCTCCCACTAATACATATTACATGTTAAAGCCCCAGATGCACTGGTCACAAAACCAACTGCTCCCATTCCGTTGCTAGTATTTTGTTCCTTTCTTAGTAGTGGTGTTGACACTGTCTTTGCGTTGCTTAATAAATGTCATCATTTCTAAAATCCCAGAACCTTATGGAACCAGATGGGACAGAATTAGAGTTGATGATGTTTAAAGATAAGCAGAAGGCTAACGCATAGACCAGTGATTCCCAACCACTGTGCCGTGAGAGATCATCAGGTGCGCTGTGGAAAACTTTCCAATTACACTTACTTGGTCGGAAAACTATAATATATTTACTGCAGATATATTTCTTTGCTTTTATTGGGACTTTGACAAGAGGACACTCATCAGCAACACCTGCAGGACTGCAAAAAACCTAGTATTGCATCAGTGGGCTCCAATATACAGAGAAGACAATCATCTTTTCTATGTTAGCTATAGTAAAAAGAATGGAGAGGTTTTCAAAACGAATACACAATTCATGTAAATTGTGTACAATTACTTAAGCAATAATAATGTTAGATTTTAAACTCAGATTATTAAAAACAAACGTCATCATATACAGAAAATACAGTATACTGTTGTTAGTGTAATACAAAGTAGTAACTAAAGGCTAACCAGAATTTGAGACTTTGAGTTGAATTTAAAATATAATATTTTCCGAGCAATGGTTCATGTACGTAGGAAGCTAGCGGTAGTTACCGTCACAGTGAAGATGGCAGGAGACAGAGTGGGATGTGTCATGATTTGTGAATGGGGTAAATGGTGAACATATTGAAAAACAAAGCCACAAAGTTATGTTTTTATCACTTTTTTTTTTTTTTTTTTTTACTAATACTGAAACACGACTACAACATGCATGTCAGGTTTTTTCCTCTTTTGTTTCAGTAATTTTTTTCTTTACCTAATGCAGTTTTCTAATTACGGCTGTAATTAGTATGTAGTTTTTAATTAGGAAAAGGACACTGTGTCTGCTCAGTTCGAAAATCACTGCACTGGAAGGCTTACAGTTTTTCAGCTGCTCTTGCAGGAGTCTAGAGGTCTCTTCAGAACTAATTACAGCAAATAACCTTTATTAATAATGATAGAGATAATGACTATAATAAACACACGAGTTCGCTTTGGATATTGATTAATGGCTCCTCTCAGGTTTTTTTCATGAGCTATTGCTATGCAAATTATACAACGGAAACTGTGCATGGCCCAAAAATATTGGAGAAAAAACCCATTAATGGATGTAATCTTCTCTGCAGTCATTTTTATAGAATCCATGTTCCCGAATGTATTTACTTAAAAATAGATTTATTTGCTGCTGGAAGTCTCAGTAGAATGTATCAGGCATTAGTCAGTGCCACTGCAGACAGACTGTGAGTTACTTGTTATGTTTTTTATACAATAGAAATTAGTAAAACGAGGGACAGCTCTGAAGAGGGACAGCTACATTAGAGTTATTTGTGCGTGCTTTTATCTCAAAATCTAGGCTGTTTTTTGAGCAACTTTTAAGCTAATTTGTTGCTAAGCTATAACCTGTCTGTTTTGTTCTGAGAAATGTAGCTATTTCTAGACTAGCTTTCTGACTCATTTTTGGATTTCCTTTTTTGAGGGTTTATGAGACACCGGATAAATGACTTTTATACTAATACTTATATATACTAATTATACTAATATATTAATTTCATACTTAAGTCGCGTAGTATAAGTGAGTATAAGTGGCAAACCCAGCCAAGGATGAAAAAAAGTGCGACTTATAGTCCAGAAAATACGGTAGTTGAGAAAATAGCTTCAAATGTTGTCCTACTTGAAAGTCCCCTCTGCTCTTTGTATACATGTTGCAAGAAAAACAGCAGTGTTGCTCAACCTCTTGGCATTTTGTTAAATAGTAGCATTGGAAAACTACTATCCATATACAACCAGACATTGAAGGGCCACAGACCTTTATAGTAGTACAGCAGAACATATATAAGCACTGGGATTTGACAAAAGAAACATAATCCCAGTTCATTCTGGGCCTGTCACATGTACAGTCTTCCACATGTAATTTCCTGTTTCACCTGGAGACTGAACAATATTCCTGACCCACTTTCTGGGGCTGATGTATTGCCACCTTTCTATTTCCTTTTTTAAACTCCACAC